CTAGCAGTTGATGACAAGTTTTTGAAATTTATTGGTACGGAACAGCAACGTGATGAAATTGTGGTAATTTTTTGTTTTTATATTCTCTTAGAACATTTTCTGTTTCAGGTTGAACCTTTGTCTTATCAACATTAGTTTTCGTTTAATCTTCGCCCTTGTTTAGATAAGTGAAAAGCCATTGTCTGTAGTTTATAACTAATTTATCGTGTACGTAGTGCAACTTAAAAGCTCATCTTTGGTGAATTGCCTCAAAAGCCACTTTACATTATGTGTTGTTTATGAATTTTTTCTGGGGTTAAATCTTTTCATTTGTCGTACTTGTTTTGATACCGTAGAGGAAAATGAAAGTAGTAGTGGGATCTTTCAAAGCATAAGATGATCTTTACAATTCCTTTTTATCACCTTTAGACCTGTTTGGCGAAGGGTTATGTCGAGTTTTGTTTTGGTGGTTTTTAACTTGGCGTTGCTGTTGTTGCACTTCCATCTATTTTTTATTATGGAAAGAAGCACTTTTCTTTTAGTGAAGCTCAATTTTTTTTTTTGCTTTAGGCTTTACTTGAACATTTTACGAGTTTTGACGAGAAAAAGGGCAGTTTTAGCAATAATTCATGTGTCATCTGTCAGTGTTTTGTTCAGATAGAGTCATTACGGTTGGAAAACTGTGGTCATGCAGTCTGTAAAACTTGCCTTTTCCAGCAGGTATTATTATCAAAACATTAGAATTTCACGTTTCTTTTTAGAGATCAATATCTTGCTTACAGCTTTCTCATACGTTTCAAGTTGGTAGTTTCCCTCTTGAATGTGCCGGGTGCCAGACAAAGTTTTCAGTAGGTGATCTGAAGGTTAGTTGAAGTTTGGTCTCTTTTAGCAACTTTTCAGAAAAAGTCATATTACGTAGACGTAAAAGTAAAAAGCATTTTGGCTTTACATAGATGTGTGAAGCAATGTTTAGGTTTTGTATACTCTTCAGTACACAGTTTTCAGAATATTTTTTTGGAAGATGAAAAAAAGTCTCAAACAGCAAGGTTTTGGCATCCTTTGGCTCAAGCGGTATTGAAATATTTCATTAGTAGGAATTCGGATAAATTTTTTTACTGCCCAACGCCGGATTGTTTAGGAGTTTATAAGGTATTTTTTGTTTCAAACTTATTTTTACTGGAGTGAAGTTAAGCTACCGTTTTCTTGGAAAATTCATTTAGCGGTTTGAAAAAGGGACTGCTTCAAAATGCTTGCTCTGTGGGAAGCTGCGGTGTTCCCATTGCGGCGAAGATCATAAAGGGCTTTCTTGTGCAAACCTTAAGTCTTTAAAAGGCAAACTAGATTCTTCTCTCTCTCACTGGTTAAGGTATTATTTTACAGCTTTTGGTAACAAATAATTTTATTCAACCTTTTTAGATTTTACATGCATTTTTGGTCGAGGTTTTGTTTCTGTGCTTATTTCTGGCTTATAAAAGGTGAGTTTCCTTAGTTAGAGTGCACTTCAGTGAAGATTTGCGGTCTCGAAGACTTTGTCCAAATTGTCAGTCTCCTATAGAAAAGGTTGGGGGCTGTTATCATATGGAATGCCCAGTGTGTAAGAAGCACTTCTGTTGGGTTTGCCTATTCTCGGTAGTTTTGGATTTTACTTTATTGCTTTTCTTCAATTTTTGTTTTTGTGACGGAGCTGGTTATAGTGGTTATATATTTTGATTTAAGTTCGGTGTGCAGGTTTTTTTTTTCTATCTAGAACTAAACTTGCGGCTTTATAAATGTGCATTTTGTGGAGGTTATTATAAATTTTTGATATTTACCTTTTACAGTGAAATGAGTGGAAAAATTTCGCAAAAGTGGACTGGAGGAGTAGCCTAGTTGTAGGGAATAGTTCCGTACTTGATTAATAATTTTTTTGTATTTGTCTCTTGATTTGTCGGATATGACCCCTGTTCTCGAAGTTTTAATTTTTTAATCAAGTGTGAGATGATCTTGAAGTGAGCGCTGTTAAAGTGTACAGTTTTTTTTGTCAGCATAGCTATACTATTGATTGTGAATCCATTCTTTTCTTGAAGTTTTTCGGACTATTGCGAGCTTTTTTTTTGCCTTTTTTATTTTGTTCTTTTTTAATGCACATTTTTATAAAGTGAAAAAAACCTTTATTTTATCCTTGTTTCATGCACGGTCATTGAGCAGTTTAGGCTGAGACGTCTGGTCGTGTATATGAGCATACAGAAAGTGTTCATAAGACCTGTGGAGTCGATCTGCAGCTCCTTATCAATGAAGTTTTAAATGAACCTGGTTTATTAGCATCTGATAGAGACAGAAACCCGCTTTATCCATATAACATTCCAGACTTTGTAG